AGCGGTTGAGCTTTCGAGCGCGCCCTCGCGAAGTCTGACAAGTCCAGACCCAGATGGTAGGCCTCAGCGTAGCGTGCAACAACGCAACTCCTGGAGAGGGGTTGGCCTTGTCTTTGGCGGGGGGGGGGGGGAGGGCTTCTTCCGTTGATTGCTTTTTGGGCGGGGGGGGAAAGGCTTCTTCTGCGTTCTTTCTTGGGGGGGGGGGTTGATTCAGCTGGTCCTCATGTTCAAAGCCTTTCTTGGGCTCGATTCTCCCACATCAAGAAAGGTTCAATCCCCCCGCCCCCCCCCGCCCCCGCTCCGGACTCGCAGGAACGCTCTCGCTGAACACCCATCATTGTTGTTTAATCTGTGATACCGTTAATGGGAATTGCCTTGCCCATGACCATTGCATCACCTGCAAGGGGATTCTATGGACACCAATTGTGGCTTGCCTGTGAAGTGGGCATCAGCTCGTTACCCTGCGCCTGGGTTTTATCCGTTGGCTGAACAGAACCTCCGCCTCCTCTCCCCCCCAAAAACACAAAAACGACATAGCAAACATCTTCCCACCACAACTAGACCAGCACCAGCCAAATGCTCCGCCAGGGCAGCAAGGGGGGCTTGGGGATGAACCTCGGGCTCTCTGAAAGCCGCGTTGCCCAAGGGTTGATGCTGACGACTTCTGTTGGCCTTTTGCTTCCCATCTGCACCGGAAAGCTCCACTTTTCCAGGGGAAGTGAAGGAGCAAGGCGACAAGTTGAAAGGCAAGGCTGCCCTGCACAAGGCCCAAATCCCCAGCCGGAACCTTCAACACCGAACACCCCTGCGGCTCGTTCAAAAAACAAAACACGCACTCCGGAGCATGGAAGACCTCCAAGCTTCCTGGGAAGAAGATCTGGTGTTGGTTGCTGTCCCTGTTAAGACAAACGCATTCAGCCCCAAACTAGGTGTATGTCCACGGGCAAAAAAGGGCCCCTGCTTGTGCTCAGGTGGAGGGCCCCCCACAGCCCCGGAACCCCGATGAATGCTGCCCTAAAGCCCAGAGCCTATCTGGGCAGAGACCTTATAGCTTTCAGCTGTTTGGTAAATACAAGGACATCCTTGAAATTGGCTTCATGTCCGTTTATTTCCTTTCATCCTGTGTCTTGCACATGTATATTCTTCTCTCGTTTCGCTTGTCTCTCTCGTCGTCGTGGTTTTTTCACCCCCGGCCTCATTGGCGTGCTGCATTGTCTCCTGAGAAGCGCGGGCAGAGCTTTGGCAAGTCCTCCTAGGTAACTGGGCTCTCTCCGTTTTCTGATCTGTCCAAAAGTCAAACACTTGTGGCTTGCTGGACACTACCTCTAAATCCAAGAAAGCCAAAAACTGAAGGGGAGGGCTGGGAGCCACCAAGGTAACCCTAGTTTGCCAATGGTTGTTTTCGAAGGCAACCAAACCCGTTTGGGAGGAGAAGGAGCCAAACCAGCTTGTGGTGTTCGGTGAGTTGACAAATTGACCACTCCGAGAACCGACAAGAGGAACAACCCATGGGAAGTTGGTTTCGCTGCAAAAAGTGGGACACCCATCTCCTTGACCCTTTGCGACATGACTGTCCGATGGGGGTAATTTTGCAAAAACAGGAGTGTTTTTCAAAGCGGTTTGTGACACGCGACGTCTGCACCAAACCACCAAACCCGTCCATTCCGCCGCGTGATGCGATCAGCCGAGCCCCTCGGAGATGGATGGATGTCCATCGAGGCTACACCGCTGCAAGTGACTGATATTCAGTCCAAGAAGTTCCTGGACCACTCGTCAGACTCGTCAATGTGACCACCTTTGTACCAGATGGACATTGTGAAGTCCATGGTGCCTTCCAGATCCTTCATGTAAGTTGCAAGCTCTTTGGCCAAGCAAAGTCCTTTCAGTATGTCCATGACTGCGCCTGGGTGGATTTCAGCTTCCAAGTCGCCATAGTCGGTTGGAGTGGACTGGCCAAAAAAGTATAACCTTTTATCTACCACTGAAATGTTCCAAGCCCAACAAGCGACTAAAGTCCGGGAACTCAGGGAGTGAGTTTCCTGTGAATAGGGCTGCCTTTCAATTCCTCCGACCGTTGGGGCAAACATATTTTCTCTCCTGGCCACTCTTGCCCCAAAGGATCCAATTGCACCTATAGTAGGAAACCAGGGAAAATCATCGTGACAAATACAAAGGCAAAAGTCTTGGCAACTGGCGACAGTAGCATCCCTTCGTATGACAAGAAAGCAACAAAAACTCGACATTGGCACAACATTGGCAATGCTTGGAAACACCCTTTAGGTGGATATGTATATATATATATATTAATATATTAAATAGGGAACTCACTCTGCTTTGGTCCATTTCCGCCACTACAAAGATACCAATAGTTTGAGCTTGAGACACAAACCCAACTCCCAATCACCGGGATTAAACCTTCAGCCATGGACCAACTCCAAGGCCAGGCTTCAATGCACAGCCCTGTCTGCCCATAGCCCCCCCAAAAAAAGAAGAAGAAAGAAGCCAAGATGTCCTTCGGATAGCGGCGTGCCTTGTGGTCGTTAGCCAATTTTAACTCACTTGCCCAAGGGACAGAACAAACTATTCCGGAAAAGTCGCTATGGAAGTGAGCTTGGGGCATTGATGCGACCCTCTCTGAACCGCCCAGAGTTTGCGTTCCATTCGCACAACTTCCAGTGGTTGGAGCCGTCGGGTGTTCGGTTTCGGTCGAACATGTCGCTGAGAACCTAGATGGTATAACCAGGGCTACTAACCCCGCCCCCCCCCCCCCATTTAGCCTAGGAATCCATCCAAGAACTGGGCGTTGGAACATGAAACCGCTCCATGGGCCCCAATGCTGAATTCGCACGGCGGAATGCATGACTTCTCCTGCAACCCCCGATCCTCGTCTGTCAAAACTGGTTAAAGATACGGTCAAAACCATATTTGTGTTTTCAAGCTGGTCTATCCCTTACAACTGCTTTAAGCCTTGAGCAACTTGTCAAACCCATCCTCCCTCCCACTAACATAGCACCTGACAGAGGGTCCCTGAAAGAGGAAATTGATCTTCCAGGTGTCCTCCCACACATGCTATGCTAGTAAGAGTAATTATTCGGGTTTGCTAATCCTTGAGGCAAGGCCCAACCCCCTTTGGCACCTGCAGGAACCCGTAGCACAGGATCTTGTTGATCATGGGCCGCAAGTGGGCATCCTGGCGGGGGAAATCGTAAGAAGGTCGACTTGGCGAATTGCCTACTCAGCCTGCTCGCGATCGAACCAGCTAGCTAGCAAACTAGCGAATAGCTGGCTGACTAGCTCGCCAGACTAGGCAGGAAGCTACCTGACTAGCGCGCAAGCTAGCTATCTAACTAGCTAGCTAGCTACGCCAACCAGCCAAATAGTTAGCCCTCGAAGTAGCCATCTAGCCAGCTAATGGCTAACAAGCTGCCTAACTAGATACCTAGCATAGAAGAGAACTGGCAGTCCGGCGCTGTCGGACTTTACTGCAAGTCATCATAAGGAAACCAACCCTGGTACGTTGGGCATCCAAGTAGGGACGCCCCGAGCCCGCTGGTGCGTCCTCCCTCCCAGAGCCATAGGAAGTGATGAGAAGTTTGTGGCTTGCCGGCTGCGATGGCTCCACTCACAGCGTCGAACTGGGTCAACATAGGGCGACCCCAAAACTGATGGGTTTCCCAACACTGATGGGTTTTCCAGCTGATTTCCGCTGAACCAACCTTAAAAGGATACAAAGGGAACCCCCATACTCTTAAGATCGCCCTATGCTGACGCATACCCGGGTCTGTTCTTTGTTTTTAGGGTACCTTTCTCAGGATGCTTTCTTTTTGGCGGAAACCAAAGGCAACCACCTTCTTCGAGTCCTTTTTAGGGCACCTTTCTAAGGAGCTGGTCTTCTCCCCTCGTTTTTGGGACCCCCGCCCCACGGAGCCTTGCAGAGCATGGCCTGGATCAGCGCCAAGAGCTCAGGGGAGTAGAAGGCGTCCGGGGGAGGAGCCTCGTCCTCGGCGAGGGGTTTTGACCATAGGCCTTTTGGACAAATAAATGACCCTGGTAAATGGAAGAAACCCCGCCTAAACTAGGGCCCTCTACTTTTTAAGCAAACCAAAAAGGACAGCCACGGTTTTGACCGTTTTGAGCCCAAAATGTTTGGGGCGGGAGCCGACCTTAAGAATCCAAGGGCTGCTCCGGCTGTTCAGCAGGACCGTTCAGCTGGGCGGGTTAAACGGAGCCCCCTCTTAACCTAAACCCAGAGCCTAAGGGGATGAACCGCCTGCTTCACCAAATGACTTCATGGATGATGTCTGTAGTTCTGCGGCCTCTTGTATAGCCCTTTTTGGTGTTTTGAAGGGAAACCAGGAACTAATCTTGAGCAGTGCTAAGACTCCGTCACAAAGGAGGCGTTCATAGCCCGGACCTGTTAGGGGGTTCCCACCACCACATCCCCAATTGGATGGGGTGAGACAGGGGTATGACACATGGGTCACTCCAAAGGGGAGTCAGCCTTGATATCACAGTGGCCCTAAAACAACATGTCCCACAACCATGGACAGGGGTCTTAACATTCCTTCTTGGGTGTCGTTGAATAATTTCACCTCTCGGCCTGATTTTGAAGGGACATTTACGTCTCGTCCCCTTGCGCCCGCCCCCCAATGTCTCAAGCCACAAGTGGACCATAGACATGTTGACCGAACCATACAGTGAAACTGTTCCCTGGCACCAACATGGGGCATTCTTATTTTGTGAGTTTCAGGCGGGCTCCCTTATCTCGGAAAGTGGCAGCCTAAAACCCGCATTGCGCACGAGAAAATATGCTGTTGAGAGGACCTTTTTTGGGGTTTTTTCAGAGACCTTTTGAAGGTTTTTTGTCAGGGACCTTTTTTGGGTTGCCTTGCAAGGCAAGCCACTGCGGGTTTCCACATGGATCCCATCCTGTCCTTCAGGATCTTGCTGGCCAGCAGAACCAGCGAGTCTGCGTCGAAGGGGTGCTTGAGCGTGCTCATCTGCGATCGAAGAAAGGGCTAAGAGCTGCAGATGTGCAACCTACTCAATATGAAACGGTTTTTTAAAGGGTTTTCTGTGGTTTCCCCTTACATTTCTCCACAAGGAAACTCACTTCACAGTGGCCCAAAAAGTGATGTTGAAGTATGGGGATACATGGGATGACATGGGGTGTTTTCCTTGTAACCATGTTTGAACGCATAGCTAATTGGTTCAAACATCTAAGTGGGATGTTCAAACTGAAGAGTTACCTTGGCCGATCTCCATCTCTAGACGGAAACCACCACAACAGGGCCAAAAGAAGAAAGGATCCAGCCTCAATGGAACGGCAACAGCCAAAGTCCCGAGGAAGAGTGCTGAGAGCCGAAGCTGGCGGTTTCCCAAAACCCGGGAACAAGAAAAGAACATGCGCATCCCAGCAAAACCCTCATCGAAGTCGGTGTGTTAGCCCTTGTTGAGCATCTTATGACTGGGCATCACGTCAAGGTGCAGAAAATCAAAATCACCTTAAGTCTCCAATCCCCAAAAGAAAGGGGTCATGACCCATGTTTCAAGGATGAGACTGCGGGCACGTTGTTTGGGGACACCCCTCCTCGTTTCCCGCAAAAGGGTCACTCGAGGGCACCCTCTCCGATGCGCAGACCCGGTTTTGCTGTTTTGCACTGCGACCCCACGGCTCGGACGTCCGCAAATTACACGAACTGTCGGAATATTGGTGGCTCGTCTTTTTTGGGAGCTGGTACCCTTGTTTTCTGGTGAAGGGAAACCAACAGGGCATCAACCATTCTGGCAGGGTCCCCAAGAAAAAGGACACAGCTATATCTCCTGGACATCTTTCAGTTCGTCCCCCCGGTGCCCCCGAACCAAGGGATGCAGTGCCTCGTAGAGGACCACGCCCATACTCCAAACATCGCTGGTGAAGTTGTAAGGCCGGTCCTGGATATCAATCCGAAGGTCGGATTGTGCGTTTTGGCCAGTGATGGTAAATGGCCAGGAAAACGGAGAGCTCGACTGCGGACCATGCAGCTTCAAAGAACCAAGGACAAAATCAAACAGTTGGCGGAACCCACTGAAGGCAATAGATCTGTCGGAAAAGATGGGTTCTTCAAGTCGCAAGATGTGTGAGCTCAACATCCGATTTGCATGTATCTAATCTTGGTCGCTGTTGACTGTTCTGGGAAAAGTGATCAAGTTTTTGTGGGTCCAAGACGGAAAATCCGATCTGTTTCCTGAAGTGGGTTAGAGTCCAAGGATCCGTTACCAAATAGATCCACATCGCATTCCTTAGGGGTTGACTCCTGTTCCATTCTTTTCAACCATCGTTATTTTTCCAAAAACCCGCTGTTTCCCCTGGGTTTTTCATGGTTTCCTGCAAAAGATTCGAATCCCTGGAAAGAATGGGGAAGGTACCCCTAGAATTCCACAAACATGTTGGCCATAAGAAGCCTGTGCAACATGCGATCGAATCGATCGACGGCCATGGACTTGAATTACTTGGTGCCAAGGCTGTGAAGCCAGCGTGAGCAAAGCTTTTCACTTGGCACAGCTTCGACTTCCCCTGTGCCAGCTAGACACATGTGTAGCACCAAAATTAACAGGACGAAGAAAGCCAAAGATGGGGTACAAGTAATACTATTTCACCAACATAGAACTGCACGCCCCTTCAAGTTTCGAAGGCACTAGAAACAAACGTAACCTCAGTGGTTGCCCTTGTTCTTACCCCAGCATTTGTAAATCTCAGCTCTATCTGCCCCGCCCCACCCCGACCAAACAAGTGGTTGAGTCCGGTCCATTCTTAGTGAACCTTAAGTTGTAATCAAACGTTGGATTTCCCATTACCCCGTAAATGTGGCCTAACATTCCACATGTGTCAACATTTTCCAGGAACAGCATGCCAAGAACAGTCAAGTTGAGGGCTCTAAGCTGCTTGCAGCCTTCGAACCATTGTGGTCGCATGTGTACATGGGTGAAAAGCAGGCATCCATTCGGTGTGATTTGGGCAAAACACCATGAGTTAAAAATGGGTCCAACAGATTACGTTGTTTTTTTTTGTTGTTTTCCAAAGACGCGCAATTGGTCTTACTAATTGTGGGTGCTAGGGTGCGACACACACATCATAATTTGCAAGCGATCAGAACCTGGTACCAAGCAGATAGAAACCATGTCGGGAGATAATCAAACCTGGTGCAAAAATGTGTCTTGAAAATCCCAAGACTCACAGTATGTCATTGGCGTAAAAACCAGATGACCCCCCCCCTAGAGATTTATGTTATCACCATCCTGAATGAAAAACGAAACATAGGCAGCTTCCTTTCCCGCTCTGATCTCAGCCCATAGGTTCTCAACCTACGTCCTTCAAAACCTTCCTGGCTTCCGCGATCTGGAAGGTTCTGGTTTCTGGAAACATGTTGGATGCGCTTGTGGAATTCACCTGTTCTTCCCCCGTGGTTTGTGCGTGCTTCTTTTGTATCATGTTAGTACAATTTTATACAATTTTACTATCAAGCATCCAAACCGTTGATTTGTTCGTCCGTGCACAGTAGTTAATGTATGTAACCAAAGGGCCTTGACCATCTTTGGGCACTCTTTGGGCACCATCAATATCCCACCCGTGCGCAAGAGACCTAATAGCACTTCTGTGCGGGAGGGCTCTCCATGGTAGGAAGTCAACCTGTACCCCACTTGTAGCTGCGTGGAAATAACCTACTCAAGTAGGTTCAACCTCCGAGTAACCAAGCTCATGTGGGATGCGCTGAAATATGGGCTGGTGCTTTTCTCAGGGCACTCCCTGGAGTTGTGTTTTTGGGAAACCAAAAGGACACTTCCGCCAAGTCAGGGGTGTCATTTTGACACAAACCCAGAGGGCGTCTCCAAACAGGGGACCCTGAAAATGCGTGGATCCCCACTGAAGCGCCAACCAAATGGGGACTGAAGACCAACCAAATGGGGACTGAAGCGCCCAAAACACATTGGGCTCTAGCAACATGGCTGTAAAGGTTTCTGTAGGCCAAACAAACCCCACGAGACAAGAAGATCAAACCTAAAATGGACAAAAAGGCAGTTTTGGCCGCTGCTCATGTCAAAAACAAAAAGTAGCCCCACTTTTGGTTTTCAACTATCTTTCTCATACTCTTTTCACTGGAGCCCAGGCAGTGAGAAAAGGGCACCCAACATGTCGAAGTCTAAGATACTCGCAGCCCATCAGAAGAATCAAGCACTTGAGCAGATCCGGATCAGGATGTTGAAGACCAGGGGCGCCCTTTGGTTGCGTTGTTGTTTGTCTGGGCTACCCGGGTGTTGAACCTAAATTAGCTCAGGTGGTATCCCCAACAGCTAGGCGCTGAAGGTCCAGGATTTGTCTGCTTGTTGCGTCTCAGACTTCAGCTCTTCACCTTACACTTGGCCTTCACCAGACCACCCGGAGCCTGCGGAACCTTCCTTGAAGCTTACACCCCGAAACCTCCGCAACCTTCCTTGAACCTTACACCTGGCCTGCACCTCCAGAACCTGCCTTGAACCTTACACCTGGCCTGCACCAGCTCCTCCTTCCTTGAACCTTACTTCCTTCCAATATACGATGGGCTGGCAAGCTTTCTGGCACAAAGAACAAGAGCCAAGCCCGAGAGCACATGGGACATTTTCTGAGTCGCCTTCCATGTTGGTTTTGCGGTTGAATTGAGTGGGTTCCCCCACACCCCCCCGAATGAACACACAAATCCGGGGATTGTTTGACCGAACGTGATCGAACCTCATCCGGGTATCTCGCACGGTCCTTGATGATTTCAGGGCTGAGGTAGTACGGAGTCCCGACCTGAGGCAGCTTGACAATGTCCCTGCCGAGATGGGCCACGTTCCTGAGTGGATTGACCCAAAAACAAACTGTTGGCCACTCAGACTCCCGTGAAGGTGTACCAAAAGGGTTGTCCATACTCTTGGCTGTACCATTCATGGTGTGACCACTTGGAAGACGGTTGCGTGGAACGTAGGTCATCCGTGAAAGCTGGAAGGCGCAAAGTGAGGACTCCAGCAAGCAACCCTCGTCCAGCTTGCTCTTGGGGCAGACCCATCCATTCGCGCCTTGATGGTCCATCGATAAACCCACACAAACCACCGGTGTTTGAAGGCTAACCAAAGGGCAGGCACCCATGCCTGGTGGTCCCCCTATTTCAAGACACGCCAATTTCAAAGCTCATCAGGGAAGAGGCCTCAAATGAAACCCAGGATAAAACTAGCCGCCTGGTCGATGTTGCTTTGGTATGTGTGCTTTGAGGACTCGACACTCCCGACTCCCATGCAATTTCCAGGCTTGTTTTATGGGGGTCTGTCAAACCCCTTCCTTTGTTGGCCAATGACTCCCATGTTTTTGTTGGGTCTGACGAGACCATCGAGGTTCAGCGAGCAAGCTGAGGTCAAGGCCATGGTCCGCGCATAATCCTGGCATTCGCTCAAAGGCGACTGCGAACTCCCAAGAAAACCTGCCCTGAACTAGCACCCGGGTCCCAACCACTGATTTTGTACTTGGGTGGAGAAAGCCGTGCTTCGGGGTTTGCTGGAAGGGAAACGAAAGCAACCCAAGGAACCCTTCAATGACCTACCCTTGTGCGCTGATCATGCTGTTGGCTGCTTCATCTCAATGGAAACCTCAGCTGAATTACGCTGGTTGACGACATCACAAATTCACCGTAACAGCTAGCATTCAAGATGCAGTACCTTGAAGCATCTGGCATACGGTGTCAGCCATGGCAAACTGAAAGGAACACTGACAGAAACAACCAGACCCGAAGAGCCACCGGCAAAACCTCCTTATTTGTTTTGTCAGGCGTTGCTTGCCGCCCCTTTCATTCTTTAGCACAGCGTTTGGGTACCAGGTTTCGATCATGGCTCGCTTGCTGTTTATATAGCCCCATGTTGAAGGGGTCGAATCGCTTCCCCTCTAACACGAGGCCAAATGGCGTCAAGCATCAATTGGACATTGACCGCAAAGCAAAAGTGGCCAGTCGGG